AATAACGCCACTCTGTCGCGCTTCGCGGTGACCGGCACAAAAGCGAACGACGAATTAGTGGCGTGTTGCGTAGAAGCAACGGGACACGGTGTGCACTTGAAATTTCTTATTGCGGGTCGTTAAAATAAAGTTTCACTCCCTTCAAATTTCTCGTACGTCTTGGAGTCTAAGCGAGACGTTGGGCCGTGTGGAATACGTTCGTTCGTTATACGCGGCCTGTTATTGGACGGGCGGGCTTGGGAATAAAGCGAAATACCGTATAAAAGTAAAACGTTCCGGACGAGGGAGATACGACGTGGCGTTAGCCATTCGTTAGAGCGACGTTTCCGCGTTCACGCCTAGGGTGTACGGGTGATAAAAATGACAGAGGTTGAAAGGAAAGAGCACGAGTGGACGGAAATGTCGACGAGGAAGCGATTCGCGACTTTCAGCTAAAAGAAAAACAGGCTCGTTTTCGGCTGAGGTACGCGATAGAGAGGTACTCGTGTAAAAAATTGAAAAATCGGGGGGCTGACTGGGTAGGGATGCACGCGAGGGGCGGCATTCAGGCGAACGAGTCAAAGGGAATTCGTCGAACGGAAAAGGCCGATCGAGCGGTTGGAGCGTGACATATTTCAGTAGTCGCGCGCGTATAATGACGACGCGCGAGCAAATTTCAAAGAGGCCTACCGTGGGGCTGTTCTCGCCGCCGCTCGAAATATATTATCCGCGTCTCTTGCGCTCCGCGCGGGTCATCAAACGCTGCTTTTGCCCGCGACGAAGCGTTTCACGCTCTTTCAGACGCGGCCCGCTCCGCGATGGAAAACAGACGGAGAAAAAAAGATGGAAGAAGCGCCGGCAGAAGAGCCATTTCCCGTTGAAATACACGCTACCGGAAATTCCACTATCAACCACGCGATACCTTATCTATTTGTCCCCGCGATGCCTGCCAAAAGTCACGTTTCCTTTCCAACTACTCTTCCTATCTTCGATCTCCCTCGGTTAGCTACATCTCCGCGATTATCGCAGCCACAAAAGTTCGGTGCTTCCTGCTGTCTTAACGAACTCTTTCCGATTCCAACGATCCTCGCAATTAACGAACTCTGTCACGCGGTATCCATCTCTCGACGAAGGAGCGCGGCATAACGAGAGGATGAGAACCACGATCGGCGAAACCTTCGAGTCATCGCGAGTAAGAGTTACGGAGAGGCACGAAGGAGGAAGCGAGCGAGAATTCCTGGCGAAGACTCGCAACAGGGCAAACTCCTCGGAGAAATTTGCGGTGGAAGCAGAATATCACCGGGTGGTGGAGACCCTCTCTCGGATCGCGTGTACGTACTTTTTTTGCTTACGGCGGACTCTCGAAAGCGACGTACCTGGGAGAACGGCGGAGAGAATAAAGGAAAGGAGAAAGCGGACCGCGATGGACGCTCGCGTGCTGCCCTGACGCGGCGTGTCGCGGTTCCACGGGAAAAGCGCGTCGGTTTCGCTCTTTATGCGTAAATAGCCGCATTACGCCCGGCCTCTGCTTTTATTCGCTCTCTTCCGAGTCGCTCCACCACAGCCGAGGGATCAAAGGGCTAATACAATTTTTCTCGGTATACCACAGTATACCCCCGCTACCTTCTTCGTCGCGCGTTCACCGGTGTCACGGTTTCAGAAACACTCGAGAACGAAAGAGAGGCAGCATCGCGCGGGCAAAGAAGCAGACGGAGAGAAGGAGGCTGCGAGTAACTCCGAGGCTGAATAACATTCGGTGTATAAAATAGCCGCGCACGCCGGCCCATGGACAAAGGGCCTTTAGTGGCAACCGGTGTAAAAAAGACGTAGACAGAGAGAGGAGATAGAGGCGAGGGGGGAGAGAGAGAGGATGGAAAAAAGCACGAGTGTGCTGGTACCCCTTTTCAGGGCACAGGACGTCTCCGAACGGCGGGACGGTCGTTCTCATCCGTAACCCGAGACGTGTAATTAGGAGCACCGGACCAAGATGAATAGCCAAGTGGCCGGTGGGGCAACAGGCAGAGAAAGGAAAAGTGGGGCGAAGCGGGGATGCTGCCGTGGCCCATCCATCGACGAGAGAGCGTCGGTCGAGCCGTGTGCGCCACCGTCGCGTCGCCTCCTATACACACCGCGTTCGATTCGATGCCGGGCACCGATCAAAGTCCCGCACGATCCTGTTTATGCTGTACCGGGAGTCCGACCGGCGAACGCTCCCTCCGCCTGTCCTAGATCGTTATTTACGAACACGCTCCGGAGGTGTTTCTATCCGCAGCCGGTTTTACGTCGCTCTCCGAAAAACCGCTCTCGTTTTTCTGGACCATTCGAATTTCGTCTAACGAATAAGGACGAACATAACATAGGTGTAATCTACAGATTCCGATGGAAAGAATTTAGGGAAGCGAGTTTATCGAGCGAAAGGATCGAGGCAGAGCGAGCGAACCAGCCTTTCGTGCATTTTTCAGATGGCAGACCGCGCCGAGAGAGGAAGTCACCTCTGCCGGCCAATTCTTGCTCGCAGCCATCGCTACTAATTACACGTGCGGCCGCACGTATACGACGTTACCGTCGATATTAGGTAGGTGGATACGTAATATGGCCCCCCCTTTCCGCCGAGTCTGCGTATATTCGCTTTCTAGGTGTGCATGGCTATCGAACCGGTTCTCCTCTCATCGAGAGGGAGAGAGAGAAGCGGCAGCCAGTGGGTTACCGGCCGGCATCATGGACGATGGAGAGAGGCCGTAGCCAGCATCCACCCGAGCATCGTCACACCAGCGGTATCGCTATCGTCGCGAGGCCGAATTTCGTGGCGGTGCACGTGAGAGATCGGCCGCGGCGATTCGCCCGTCCGGCTGCAAATTGGAGCCGCGAGCCGCTTTTCGAAACGGTCTGGCGAATTCGCCGACCGTGTTAAAGGGCCATCGATGCCACGGCTTTGCGAGCCGCTCGTCCCCTCGACCTCCTGCCAAGACACGTTTCTCCCTATCCGGACAGATCTTTGCCGGGAAATTAGCTAGTCCGTTATTTTTCGATCTCGTTCCCATCCCATGGAACGCTTCGGTTGCGACAGGATATTGACCAAAGACAAAAGTGCGTGGAGTTACATCGGGGATACCGGTGAAAAAAAGATCGAAGCGGAAGATTTGTCTCGGAGTCGTGGCAGTCGGGCCACCCAATTAACCGTAATTATAGCGTGAAAGAAGAGAGGAACGGGCGATCCGTTTGAAGAAAAACCCGAAGGACGGACGAAACCGTTTCCACCTATAATAGCATCTCTCCCCCGTTCCGTTCCTCTTTCCATGATTCATTGTAGGCGAACAGGGGTCGAACGGTGCACAGTGGGAAAAGAATCCTGCGAATCGTCGGTTATACGTGCGTGTGCGTAAGTATACTACACGAGCTGACTACGGCTGTATACTCACCAAGGCATAGTAGAAGCGTTGCCGCCGCGTCGAGACGCCGCATCCTTTGCGACCGCCGTTCAAGCAGCAGGAAACGCACGGCTCGAAACTCGCGCAGAAGGAAGACGCTGAGCAGGAAAACGGTCCGGTGTTTTCAGAAGTTTCGCGTCGCTGTCATTCTATTTCCCTTCCGTGTGAAGCTTGCTTGACGACCAAACGAACACACTGCACGGAACCGAGCTCGAGCGAACCGAACACCACGAAACGACGCGCGATACTGAGGGCCGCTAACCCACGCCGCTCCGCGCCGCGCCGCACCGCGTCGGGGCGACCCCTGCTCCTGGGGTTCACGGCCGATGGCCTGAGTTTCCCAGCTGCCATAAGGGGGCACACTAAACTGGTCGAATGGAACTGCTTACCGACCGTGGCGGAACTGGTTTTCCCCGCGACGTTTACGCGGGAGATATTCGAATCTCGAACGTGTGCGTTTTAACGAACCCCTTTTCTCGCGAGCTGATTTGATGTTTCGGGGAGCTGGAATTGTGTACGAAATGAAGACGTCGGTGAAAGGGTTACAATTCAAATTCGATATATTATCTCATACATCTTATGACACGTACGTCGTTGTTCTCTCCCTCGGTAGTCGTAGTATCGTAATCGATAGTATTTATAATAACAATCTAAACAGTCATGTTACTTACATTCCTACATTTACTATATACTTCATTTTTTTTTTTTCTTTTCTTTCGTCACTTTACATATTCGTGTGTTTTTTATCTCACCTCGTCACCGCTGTTACGTATGTAGGTATGCACCGAATTTCGCGTGTATGCGGGGCTGCGTGGTTGATGGCGTCACAAGGAGAATGCACCTTCTTTCCACGCTCGTCTTTCGTCTCGAAAGTTTGCA